GATACGTCCATCTCCATCTTCTCGGCACATGGGAACGCAAGGCGGCCACCTTTGACCATGGAGTGAGTGCATCGCCATCTTGTGAGGTGGATGAGTTCCATATCCCTCGAGGTTCCAACGCGAAGAGGACATGTATTCGTCCACCCTCACCCCATCCCCCCACCCCCCATGAAATCGATGGATAAGAACGAAGTGCTGCACTTTTATTGCTCTTCTCGATGTACCAATTAGTATCGACTCATCATTCCTGAGAGGGCGTCGGGTCGTCATGTGCGGGGAAAGGAAGGTGAGTGAGGGGGTGGGCGCCCGCCTGAGGCTTATCCGCAGCATTTAAGGATTCCAAAGGCGACCAAGTACAGTGGAGGCTGGGGGGTGGGGGGCCGCTCTGTCGGTGGATAACCACCGCCCCGTGGATGCGGTGTGTATCCACTTGATAAGGGAGGGACAAGGGGAAGGGATGCGCTCCGTTTTGGCGAGGCCCTCTCATGTGCTGTGTCGTCGTGCCACGTTACGGCTGATTCCGCCGGGTGAGTTAAATGTTAGATTGCAGTGAGCAAACAAAATACGACAGTGGATGCGTTATAAATGTAGAGAAAATGACATAAAAAGAACCGCTGATGAGAGGCGGTTGACCACTCACGACGGCACTCAGTTTGACCGTAGTTATCAGCGTCGCTTGCGGCCCAAAAGACAGCGAGGGAGCGTGGGAGCCGGTGACGCTGACACGCGAACGGGAGACCGAGGGGGTGGGGTGAGGCGCCCCTGCCGGCCCTGAGGTACCGAACCAAGAGATGGACGTTTGTCAATGGCCGGAATCAGTGGGACCCCGAGTGGCAGCCAGTGGGAGGGGCTTGCTTTTCTGGGAAGGCGGCTGGCGGGAGCCTGAGCTGGGAGTTGCGGGCGTTGTTTGTTCGCTCGCACACGTGTCGGCACGGCACGCAGCGACTGCCTTGTCGGATACGGGGGCCCCACGGGGTGCCTTATCCTTTGTTGACAGATAATTTAAGGAGAGGCAATAATAATAATAATAATAATAATAATAAATAAATAAATAAATAATACATGAATAAAATTGGATCAGAAGATTTGGGAGCAGAGGAGGGGAGGGAGAATTGGAATTGGAATTGGGATCTCGATTCGAGAGAGGAGGAGAAGGGAATTTGAGAGAAAGGGTGGAGGAGGTTGTGGATCGAAGGAGGAAGCATATATTCCATTGGAATTCTCGAGGATTTACTCTGCTGGGCTTTCCACCACCACCACCACCATCATCATCATCGATTTGTCGAGGGGGAGCGATACGGGAGGGAGCAAGCGAGGCCAGCAACGTAGGAGCCGAGTAGGAGACGCCGCCTTGTATGCCTTCTTCGCCCTTCACGTGTCCATCTGCCCCCCTCTCTTGTCCTCTTATATATACCCCCTTGCTTCGTCCCAATACCTCACAGAGCTGTTGGTGGTGGTGGTGGTGGTGGTGATCGTGTTGGGGTTCGGTGAGAGAGAGAGAGAGAGAGAGAGAGAGAAGGCTAATAGGGCTGATGGAAGGCAAGAACAACTCTCCTCCTCCATCTTCTTCTTCTTACCGGTCGTTCACGTCGCTTGCGGATGAGAGCTTCGGACGGAAGGATGCGGATCCCTCGGCGAGGTCCTCATCCTCCTACCAGGGCTATTTCAGCACCGTCATTCCTCCCGCTTCTGCTGTACGATCGCCTTTTTCTTGATCTCTGTGCACTGATTGGGGGTGTGGAATTGAAGGGGTTTTCGTTCTTTCCGGTTCCCCGCCCCCCGGCCCTAAACCCATTGGGTAGAGTCGAGGTTTTCCCTATGTGCACATCACGATGGGGTTCCTAATCGTTCTCTTTGCTCGGTGGCAGGTGATTGCGAAAGATTTATCGCATTCCGATCTGTGCTGGACTTTGAACAAGCAGAGAGTCGAAGGTCGCATTGCGAGTGCTCGCTGCACGAATGCAGGTACTCGACCTCATTCCTCATTCTTTCTTCTTTCCTATCTGCCCGCATCTGCACAACACGGACGCTCACAAGAGTCCCCTGATCCCCTTCCTCCAGCACACACACCCTCACCAAAATGACAGAAAGATATAGATGCCGGGTTTCTTAGATATTTACGTTCTTTAACTTCAAATGATGAGACTTCTATAGAACATAAAAGCATTGAACATGAATATAGGACACATCTTTTCTGTACTCGTGAGAATATGTATTAGTGATCAGAATGCATATGCGGACATTGTGTCCGGTTCATTGTACATCAAACCTTGTACAGAGGATAAAAGACCATTCACTCTTAACTAGACTTGAAAGAGTCCAAGATTATTGTAGGCACATGCAGGTTAGACTTTGTTGGATCAAATTGCTGCAGATCTTGGTCTAAAATTATGAGTCTTCGATGACTGAACAATAGCTGTGTAAGGGTGCTCCACCTTCATGTTATGTTGAAAGGTACTTCACTGTGATCTTTTTTTTCCCTGACGAGAAATCAACCATGTTTCTAGAGCCTAATATATTCTTCTAAAATTAGTGATAAAGAGAAATAATGTTCCTAATGTCTTGATCATGGATCCTTGCTTCAAACAAGAGGGAGATGCAATCTCTTTTATTTGTCTTACTGAAAGTTCAATTGCCTTTTTGTCAGAAACCTTCATTTGCTGGCTAGCTATGCTTACACAGAAATGCAACTATATCAATTTCTAGTTCGAACTTGATCCTTTGTTCATAAATATCCAGTCGGTCTGATACAATTCTTGTGAAATTCCAGCTGGCAGGTCTCAAGGCAGTCCAGGCAAAAAACCAATCACACAGAACAAAGATGGGAAACCTGTATATCCCAATGAGTCGACAGAGGCACCCTATTTTGGCTCATCTGTGAATTATGGTGCCAGAGATTTCTACACGAGCTCTTCATCTAATCAGACCACTGAAAGTTCAACAAATGTATGTTACTGACAGCATGGAATTTTCTTTTTTCTGTGCTTGGCCATTATAAGATTCTTTTTTTCCTCTTGTGCTTCACATTTTGAAATTTCGCATTTTATATTACTTATTACTCTCGCCATGTTTGAAATGCTACCAGTATATAAATAATGCTGGAGAACACCTGGGCAATCCACATGCTGCTGACAGAGGTGAATGGTGGCAAGGTACAGCAACATTCTAGATAGAGTTTCATGTGATATTCATGGCTTAAAGTGAAAGATAAACCTTTTATTTTCTCCAACTTTACTCATTCAGGTTCACTTTACTATTGAAGATTCGAGATCATTATGCTCTTCTTTTATATAGAAAAGGTACACTAAAGCCGTAAGCTTCGAGCTAGTTCCCATATTGTATTCTTTATCTGTGCCTAGATGTCAACTGTCTTGGATCATCGAGGCAATAAGAATCGTTTGACAATAGACCTTATGGTTCTTTCTTAATTGTTTGCATTACATGTGAGTTTAACAACGGCTATAGTACCCACTGATAAATACCAAGTGAAGAAAGGAAAAGGGGAGGGGAATGTTGTTGTAATGTTTCATTATGCTGTCTGCTTTTAAGTGTTTGACTGTTTGCTTAGTGGAGACACAAGGTTAGGTTAGTATGGATAATTTTTATCATGTAGCTTTCAAAATAAATTGTTTTTGTTTGCCAGCAGTTTTGCAGAATTTTCTGATCTGATCATTAATGTCTGATAGATGTAGATTAAATCTTCATTTTCAAAATTTCATCCTTCTTGTTTACTACGGCCACTATTTCGTGTGTGACAGTCTATTCTAGTTCTGGTTTATTAGATTTCCAACAAGGAATTGCTTTCTTTGGTAGGTGTTCTGGCATGTAATCTTCATACTATCACTGCCTTGGTAGGAACAGTAGGCATAATAATATAGGTGAATAAATTACCCAGGAAATCTTAATTATTTTATTTAGGTGACTAAATTACCAAGTGATCTTGATAATTTTGTTTCCAGGACTAAGTAATTCGGTTCATCTAGGCTCACGCAGACTATGGAATTAGGTGGAAATATTTGGGTCTGGTTTCTCACAGGCTTAATACTAATGTCTACTACTACTTTCTTTAGCAAGAGCTAAATGAATTTGCTGCTCTGCCTGCCTGCTTGCTTTCCTTTTGTGATTTAAGATGTTTATTGCTTCAGATATTTTAAATATCAATAATATGAAGTTTACTGCCTCCAGCTATTTGTAAACTATAAATTTTAACGGTGCTATGACAGGTCCAGGAAGCTAAGAAAGTTGATGGCTATCCAAGTGATACACAATGTGACCGGCCTAGGAAGCTGAACTGTCTATATTCTACTATGTAATCTTAGTCTGTAGTAAACTGTTCATATTACCAGTGAAAGAGCAGACTCCGTGTCTAGTTATGTGACTGCTGCTGTTTTTGAACTCGGGTAGGTAGTTTGTCTTTGTCATCGAGTTACAGAGATATATGCAGGAAACTGTCTCAGGTCTCCCCCTCCCAACTTTACTGCAGTGAGGACGCAGGGTAGCTTTGTAATGTTTTCTAAAGTAGTATAATGAAAGTATAGTAAGCAGATCATAGAAAGCTGTTTTTGTTGTCTTCGCAATGAAAGGATTCCAGAGAACTATCGGTTCTTCTGTGCCTCAAAATTGTCCGGAATTTAACCAATTCAAGTTTTCAACATGGATGCTAAATTATGATGCGGAAAGTCGATGGATATCTAAGAAACTGGATGCAGCGAGATGATTGATGTGCCAGCAAAAGATCTTTTGGATCTCGGTGTCCAAACGGGTTGGCCAGACGTAACACCTCAGATGATACAGAGACAGAAGAAGCTAACCTTTGTTTGGGGCTCACAGCCAAGCTAAAAGTATCGTTCTTGGGAGTTCATATTTGACATGCACTGCAAAAGGCTGAAGCCCACAAGAAACTGACCCATAACATGCTTCATACATCTGAAACATTTTAGTATGGCATCATGAAAATGTGACTTCCAAGAGATCATATAAGCTACAGCAAGAATGTGTTATTAAGATAAAAGAACACTGGATAATGATGGTAGAATGGTGAACAAAAGAGAGACAATTACAGAATGGCAGAACCATACAACAAGGGACAATAAAGTAAGGTGGAAAGTTGGCTTTGGTTTCACTACAAACTTGATGTCTACATCTATAACTTCTTATGTGCCTCATCACATCCAGTATGCTTGATCATTTTCCCTTCAATGCAAAACAAGCTCATTGTTTTGGTGGTTTTAATGGTGTTGCAGCTGATGGTTTTTGAGCAGCAAGAGAGAACTGCTTTACCCTTGTTTCTTTAATACCCACAAACCTGTCCATTGTTCAGCCTGGAGCATTGAAGTGGAAGAGCCAGGAAACAACAAAGGCAAGCACCAAACATGCAACGAGGAATTTAAGCAAACGGTGCCCCTGCCAAAAGCTCCGGGTTTCAGATGGCGGCATGGCAGGCGGTGCTTGAGAAGTGTTAGCCTCACTCCACTGCTCTATGGGCTCGGTGTCGCTCACACCGACCACGTTCAGTGCAGTCGAGCCACAAATCTCACAGATCCTAGAATGAGAAATATAAACGAAAAAAAAAATTTTACATGTCAGACTTAAATGATCAAAACAAATAAGAACGAGTTGCACAATTAGCTGAGAGGATATGACATAAGATTGAACATACAAAATAAATGCTAAACCACAATGTCATGTAAATAATGCTCACCCAGAGAGATGTAATGGGGGCTTTAGCACCAAAGCAGAGCCAAACACAAATTAGAATCTGACTGTGTTTTAAAGTGACCTCACATTTACCCATTTTTGTTTGCACACCATGCTAAAACTGTGTTGCATGGTGGTCAAAAGAAAATTAATAAAATAAAACAGGCTACGGATAACAGATAGTCAGACCTGTAACAAAAAATAATTCCAAAAAATGAAAACACTGCACCTCTAAAATTCGAGCATTGGATGGATTCTTTTCATGTTTTTTTCTATTTGGATATCCTTCAAGAAAGTGATAGAGAATGATGATGGTGTCCACCAGAAGTCGCAATAGGTGCAAGAAGGAATAGCAAGAAGAAATCCTCTGTCCAATCCAAAGTTAGAGAATAGAGAAGTTATCTTTAGACTCGAGCTACATATACTTAGCTATGCCAATGAAGGAATAACAGAACAAGTAAATAAATCACCTACAAAACCCATGTTAGGCTCAATAAATCTAGTATGCCCTCTTAACTACAACAAAAGACAATAGGCCTTCCTGTGAACATGAGTATCTAATTATCATGACTACTAACACATATAACCTAGACAATAAGGAAGGCATATCGGCTATCACAATAACAAGTGCAGCTATTTCTTTCCTTTTTTTTTTTTTTTCTTTCAAAGGATAAGTGGGCATGGAAACACTGTACAGAGGGACCAAAGGGAGCATTTTTTTCCCAACTCGAGTTGAAACTGGAAGACAAAGGGAGCATGAAAACACTGTACAGAGGAGAGGGACCAAAAAGGAATCCCCTGAAGTTATACTCGTAATATTCTTTTAGCTCCTCTGCAGCAGTTTGATACCTCAGCGATACCACTTACTTTATCATTAGAATATAAACTCAATATCTTGTTTAGTATTGCTTCATTCTACCTTTTTTCTCTTTTCTTTCAATATCAAAGAACACGGTTCTCACGTAATTATGATGCCAATTTTCGCATATACCAAATGCATGAGTTATGATTTATGTGTAACAAATAAATGTGGCATCAAAATGTTACCGGTACTTTTCAGGTCCTAAAGAAGTAACAAAAAATTGCAGAAAGAAAACGCTCAGGTAAACTGCAGGCTTACTTGTTTCCTTTGATTTTAAACCATGTCTCAGCACACTGCTTGTGTGCAGCAGCTAAATCACCCTTGCAGGAGCAGCCCAAGACAATTGTTACACCCGACTCTGAAGCCGCCTTCTCCAAGCTGAGATGACAAATCCTGCAGTCTCGCTCAACTTTATCTATATTCACCTTTACCTCCGAAGCCCCCATCTCCGTATCATCATCATCATCATCATCAAGTGAAGACTCCGAGACACAGGATTTTCTACCATGCTCTCGAGACCCATCAATCTCAAGGCAGGAAGCAGCCGAGACCCGACCTTCATCATAAGTGGAACCGCCGCCGTTGGAGCCATATGGCGACTGCCACGAATGTGCTTCTGCATCTGAGAAGCAAAGGCTATCTTCATCGCTCTGAGTCTGGTGAGAGTGGTGCGTCCCTTCTTCAATATCCCCGGAGGATTTGCCACCCATTTTACTCATTTTACAAAGGACCTTACGAATGAAAGCTTGTGATATCGCATGAACCACCCTAATGATCTGTGTATCTTTGGAAAGGCTAAATCTAAGATGAGCAGTTTCACCAAGAACTTGGTGCAAGACTTAACTGATCGGTATATAATTCATTCGCGGAGGAGAAAGCCCAACAAGAACAAGCACAAGAACAGGTCCCTGGTCAAGTACCAAACAAGAGAAATCCCCCCACCAGAAAAATGATTATTTTTTACCTATTCCTTCCTTAATGTCAACAGCGAAAATGACCCCTATATTAGCAACTCCAGGACGACATTGACATGAAACTGGAGGTCAACCAAGAGAGGGTTCGAGGACCGGCCTGATCCAAATCACCCAGCAGCAGCAACAGAGCCCTAAAACGCCATTACACTAGCCAAGCTCTCGAACTCAAGACTTGTCAATGTGGCTTCCATTCTACGATTAAGAAGCAAATAGTGGAAATACTCAACAAAAGAAGGAACAGAAAAGGAAAACAAGAGGAGGAACAATCAAGCCATCGTCACCACATTAAGATCATGCAGAGGTTTCAGCCTCTTTGGGTCGAAGAGAGGCCGATGTATATAAGAGTCTATCAGCAGCCGCAGCAGAGGAGGTCGTAAACTCCCTCTGCTTGCCGGAACCACAAACGAATACAGAAGGGGGAGGGGGGGTGGCGGTGTTGGGGTGTGGGAGGGAGGGAGAGGGTGGAAGAATAAAGTAAAGCTGCGCTGCAGAGCAAAAGAAGAAAGAGACCCGACGAGATGTCCATACTTTGGTTTCATGCTGACAGTGGTAGGACCGTAAAAATGACAGCAGAAAATTATATATATATATATATATATATATATATATATATATATATATATATATATATATATATATATACAAATAT